TATATATATATATATATATATATATATATATATATATATATATATATATATATATATATATGTATATATGAACCACAGCAACATACAACTTATACAAAAGTACAAACAATAAAAACAACCCCACCACAAAGAACAGAACCACAAGGCTAAACCCTAAACCCTTAACCCCCTAAACCCTAAACCCCCTAAACCCTAAACCCTAGGCGCCTGTCGGACTGCTCAAGGCTAGGCAATTAACACGCTGTAGTTGTTCGCTGCATCGTAGCTAGCCACAGCTAGCCGTAGCTAGCTGTATCTAGCTGTAGCTGTAGCAGTGGTTAGCTAGCTTGCTAGCTGTAAGTAGCTGCAGCTGTAACTAGCTGCAGCTAGCCACAGCTAGCTGCAGCTAGCTGTGGCTAGCTGTAGCTAGCTGTGGCTGGCTGTAGCTAGCTGTGGATAGCTATAGCTAGCTGTGGCTAGCTATAGCTAGCTACGGCTAGCTGTAGCTAGCTACGGCTAGCTGTAGCTAACCGTGGCTAGCTGTAGCTAGCTGTGGCTAGCTGTGGCTAGCTGTAGCTAGCTGCAGCTAGCTAGAAGTAGCCTGTGGCTTTCCCACAAACAAAAAAAAAGGCCAAGACGGCCAAGACCCTCGAGGGGAGCGACAGGCGTTGTACCTCTCCCCCTTAAACCCTAAACCCTAAACCCTAAACCCTAAACCCTAAACCCTAAAAAAAACCCTAACCCCTAGTAAGCCCCTGAAAGCAAGGGTGTACAAAGGCGGGAGAGATAGTGGGCTAGCTGCGTATAGAAGGAGATATATGCTGCAGTGCATCCGCTTGCTGCTGTGTTGCAGCTCCCTCTGCTGCTGCTGCTGCTGCTGCAGCTGCTGCTGCTCGTATTGCTGCTGCATGCATTGTCGCTGCTATTGCTGCATATTGATTCATTGTTTCTGCTGCTGCTGCTGCTGCTGCTCTGACCCCTGTTCCTGCTGCAGCTCCCCTATGTGCTCCCGCTGTTCCTCCTGCTGCTGCCCCATCTCCTGCTGCTGCCCCATCTCCCGCTGCTGCTGCTGCTGCTGCTGCTGCTGCTGCTGCTGCTGCTGCTGCGGGCAGCGGCTAGTAATCCAGGACGCGAGGAGGCGGAAGAGCAGGTGCTGCCCGGGCTCATTGGGGAGGTCATGCAGCACGTCGATGCCCCTAAAGAGAAAAGCTTTTGGGGCTGCAGCAGATGCATGCGCTTGCATGCGCTCTTCGTATGCAGCTACACCAGTCGTCACCGCCTCCTGCTCCTGCTGCTGCTGCTGCTGCTGTTGTATGCAGCCAGCAGCAGCAGCAGCAGCAGCAGCAGCAGCAGCAGCAGCAGGAGGAGCAGAGAGAATTTGGATATTGAAATCGGGGTGCAACAACGCATGCAGTTTAGGGTGCAGCTGTTGCTGCATTTTGCTGCTATTGTTGCTGCTGCTGCTGTTGCTGTTGCTGCTGCTGCTGGTGCCTCCCCGCTGCCCCGAACTCGACCCTCGACCAGCAGCAGCATCAGCAGCAGCAGCAGCAGCAGGAGCAGCAGGAGCAGCAGCAGCAGCAGCAGGACCCTCTATAGCCAGCAGCTGTCTGTCTGGTATTCCTCTGAGTTTAGTGAAGCAGCTGATAGAACCATCGACGTCACAAAGGGGGTCATGGAGTGTATGTATAAGCAGCACAGCAGCAGCATCTTGCTGCTGCAGCAGCAGCAGCTCACGCTGCTCTGCTGCTGTCTCCATCTGCCATATCAGGGGAACGCCGATCCCCAGCGGCACCCCACCCTTAAACGTAAGCGGGTCCGCCTGAAAATATGCATGCAGGTGCGGGTGCCGTCTACGCCCCTGCAGCAGCAGCAGCAGCAGCAGCAGCAGCAGCAGCAGCAGCAGCAGCAGCAGCAGCAGCGGGAGCAGCAGCGGGAGCAGCGGCAGCAGCACAAGGAGCGGCGGTGAGAGGGTAGCAATACAAGCTAGAATAACAGCAGTAGCAATGGCAACAAGTACAAAAGCAGCAGCAGCAGTAGAAGCAACGGCAACAGCAGCAACAGCAGCAGCAGCAGCAGCAGCAGCAGCTTTCC